TATAAGAAAAATTTAGACTGAATTTTGATTTTAATTATATTTGCCAATGCAACACACAAGAATGACAAATCCAGTCAAGACTTTGCTCCTTTTTCAGCTAAATTTTAATCATTCAACCTCACGAATTTTATGTTGCGAAATATATATATTGGGGAATGGGATACCTCATATACTCAAGCGTAAATGAATGCTACAAACGGCTAGCGATTACAAGATAAGAACTTGATGTGAAAAATTAAAAGACAATATTAAATAAGGTAAAAAACCAAGATGGTGTGGCCTTTGTATGGTCGCAGTCTCTTTTCGTTGAATATAAGTTGCTCGAACTCGTTTCTCAACTTAATCATATTGGCAGGAAGAGCTATAGCAACACATTATAGAAAAAAGGTTTCCAAACAATGCACCGATTACAGCCGGAAAAAGACAATTGTAAGTCAATCCTGCCATTTGATCTTCCTGAATTGTTGCAAACCTTATGATATCGCTCCCCAGTTCTGCAATCTGATGAGGAAATGTCATTTAGACATGGTTAATGAAATACATTAGTACGCCTTCATCCAGAAATTAGAGGAAAGTTACAAGGCTGAGAGGCATAAGCTATTTAAAAGTTGTTTGACCTTTTCGCAACTTGGTCATGTTGGTAGGAAGACTTAGAGGAACGCAATTAGTCCGGAGTCCATTGTATGCATGATAATTTCCAGTCGAACCGTGGACGTGGTACATTCCCAGACGTTTCGCCGGCATCATCAGTGAGTTTTGCCATTCTTATCACCATACTACAATTCGTCAAAGAGACAATGGAAGCCGATCCTTTGACCAAATGTTTGCTAAACAGTTGTGATATCTCTCATTCTGCCCTAGGCTATTCACATTTCCTATATCTTCCAATAACGCCGTCACTGTTACAATTTTTATTTCCTTGCTTATTTAAGTCTAGTGTGGTGTGCCCTTTTGAGCTGGTGTCATGACAACCCTTCACCCTCCACACTGGCGTTCTCACCCCTCTTCACCCTTGTGTTGAGAATGTTGATCAGTCTGCCATATTGCTA